AGGTGCTGCAGACAAGCCGCTGCCTCCCTGAGCCTCAGTTTCCTCCTTATCCTCGCAGACGCAGAGGAAAGGGCCTGAGATAAGGAAGTGAGAGTCAAGGAGTTGGGAGGAGAGGCGAGGGGAGCTGCAGGCGGGCAGGGTCCTGCGCCCTCCGGGTCTCAACCCCGCCTCTAAGCACCGGTCCCAGGTCTCCCCCGACACTTGACCTGCTCCTGTAGCTCCCCCTGGGACAGGCCCCCTCCGAACCAGTCAGAAAGCCCAGACCTCAAAGGCTGCAGGGGGCAGAACTTCTGCCGCTGCCCCACACCTTGGCCCCTCCCTGGCTGCCCCTGCCCTCCCGCTCCTCAGCACCCCCCGCCCCGCTCTGAGCCCCTCTCCTGTCTGCTGCCTAGTTCAACAGAAGAAGCAGCGCCAGTGGATCGGCCCCACAGAAATGAGCCAGAACAGTAAGTGTCGGCAGGCAGGTCCTCCCTCACCCGCGCCAGTGTCCTGGGCCGCGGGAGGAGGCTGTGAGCACGCGGGGGGCGGGGGGAGCTCACGGTGACCACAGACAGAGCCAGCGGCCGCACGTCGAAGGGGTCACTGTGGAACCGAAGGGGCCCCACTGTCGTATTTGGAAATCAGGCTGCGTCTCTGCTCCAGGACTTGGCAGAAGCTTAACGGGCTTCGTTGCCTTGTTCATCTCCAAAGCGGGACATGCTCGGGCCTGTCCCACGGCGAGAGCCTGGAGTCTGTCACGGGCGCGCCCAAAGGCCAGGTTTAGAACAGGCCGATGCAGCCCCGGGTCTCCGCGCATGGCCAGGCCACTCTCTGGATGGAGCCGCAGCTCTCCTGCCTCCCACTCCAATTCTTCCTCCCTGTACAGATCAAGGGCCAAATCCTTCAAGAAGGTTCCGTATTCAAATCTTTTTTACCACACATAGGCCCTCAGTTCCAGATCGGCCCTTTCACGTGTTCTAATGCCCAGCTTAGCGCTTGATGACTGACTAACTGATGGTCGGAGGGCCCACTCCACACGTCAGGTGGCTGATCGACCCCCAGCTGCTCCAAAGCCTGGCCCCTGCTCGTACGAACCTCCCCAAGAGGAGAGGGGAAAGGGGCTGCCTGAGGAGCTGCAGGGGCTGGGGCTCCCGCCACCAATTCCACGAGGGGACCAGGACACGGACTTCCGGGCCCCGCTGGGCAGGGGGAGGTGGACCGAGCAGCGAGTCTAACCGTCTCCTGCCTCTGCTCAGTGTCTTTCCACCGCAACCACATGGCCACCGTCCGCCGGTCCCAGGCGGAGAACCCCACGGCCTCCCACGTGGAGAACGAATACAGCCAGCCCCCCAGGAACTCCCGCGCCTCGGCCTACCCAGGTGAGCCCCGGCCGGGCAGCGACCGTCCAGAGAGGGCAGCGGGGCCCCGGGAGGGGGGTCTGCCTGTCCTCTCGACAGCCGGCCTTGGCAGGGCGTGGAAGGAGTCAGCCCAGCCCGCCGCGCCTGCCTGCAGAGAGCCGCGCTGGGCAGCCGTCCGCGCAGGCCTGTTTCTCGCGGGGCCTCACGGCCCCTGGTAAACGAGGCCCCTCGGGGCAGAACAGAGCCCTGCGGGGCGGCCCCTGACTGGCCCCAACAAGTCAGTCCCAGGGAGCGTGGAGGGCGGCACCATTAGCGAGCCCGGGCCCAAATGACCAAAGCAGCCCCGGGCGCGCAGCCGCCAGCCCAGGGCCCGGGGATCTGCCGCCCGCGGGCCTCGCGGCGCTGGTGGGGAGACCCCGCCACAGATGGCAGCCTTTCTCCCCTCCCCGCAGCCTTGGAGGGCGCCCCGCATCGGGTCTCCACCCCGCTGGATAACTCCTCCGACAGCGACTACGATCTGCACATGACGCTGAGGCTGTAGAAGGTGGGTGTGTCCCCCCCACCCCACCCCGGGCACCCCGGACCCCAGGATCCCTGGGAATAAGCACCAGCCCCTCGGCCCCGGCCCCCCACCCACCCTGCCCTTCCCTTGCGCCGGGGGCTCTGAGCTTCAAGCTCCTGAAAGCGAAAGAATAAGCAGCAGCGATTTCGGGGGCGGGAGCTGACTGGCGAGTAGCACAAGAGGGGCCCCCTCCGCGCTGCCTGGTGACACCGTCCCCACGACCCCAAGGCCCCAAGAGAATCCTGAGGGGCCGCACCTCAGGGGACTTGGGGGTTTGGGGCTGCCCCACCTCCCAGCCACCTCCAGGGTGCGAGGTTTCCTCCTCCTCACCCCACAGAACTGGGAACAGGAACGAAACACCCAAGGGCCCCACCTTTGGTCCCAGCACGCGGCCCTCCACGCTGGAAACGGGGTCTCGGTTTCCCACCCGGCGGGGCAGAGGTGAGGCGGCCCTTCCAAGTGCCCCTCTGCCCTGCGAGCTGCTCTGCCCCGCCCCGCCAAGCCCAGCCCAGTGAAGACCCAGCCACCCCTCCCGGCTGGCCCCGGCTCCCGTGGGCGCCAAGAAAAGGCTGAACCCGGACCTAAGTGAGCGCTCCAAGCAGACACACGTGGCCGCTGGAGCACCCAACCCGTGCATGGGGAGCACGGCCCCAAGGCACCCGCTCTCGGGACACTGTGACCCCAGTGGGGCGGACACGAGGCTCGCGCTGGGGCAGGGGCGTTTCTCCAGTGTGTGTCTAACATGGTCTTGTCAATAAGCTTCGTTCACCCCCGGGACTCGAGCGCTCCTCCGTGCAGCTCCACCCGTGATCCCTCTGGGGAGCAGGAGGGAAAGATACCGGGGCACCTGCAGCCTGGAGGTCACAGCAGCTGCCAGCAAGGCCTCGTGGCCCCCCGACCCAGTGTCCCCCCACCCCTCCGCGGCTCCCCCACTGCTTCAGTCTCTGAAAGAGAGCAGGGTCCCTGCTGTCCAGACCAAAGGGCACCAGTGCCCCCTCAGGGCCCTGCACAAAGGGGTCCCCAGAAATCCTACCCTGGAGGCTGTTTCCACAACAGTCAGCAGCCCAGAGCTAGAGCGCTTTCTGCCCATGACAGTTAAGAGGCAGAGAAACGCTGCTGGACCCTGGGGGTGCAAAGCCCTCTCCACCACAGTCAGGCCCTCCCGTCATCGGGGCCTGCGAGGTTTCCTTACCTGCAAGCTAGGCATAGGGGTCTCGCAAGGGGAGAGACCGCAGGGCCTCGCCCAGCCCCTGGCCCACCCATCTGGCCCTGTGCCCGCAGGGAGAACAGATGTCGAGGGTCCAAGCCCAGAAGCCAACTCTGGAAAAGCAACTGGGAGTTAGGTGGGCATGGGGGAGGGGTGCTCCCAGTCAATGAAGCGGGGGAGGGGGCGCTGGCACCCCAGAAGGCCCTGGGTGACACTGGGCCCCCCCAACACTCTTCACCCAGGCCCCGCCCTGCCCTGCTCACGACTCAGCTCCACGAGAGCCCGGGGTTGACCTACTGGGAACCCCAAGGTGGGACCCCCAGTCATGGCCCTGCACTGGACAGCACTCAGGGCGCCTCTCTGGCACCTGGGAGGCAACCCTGAGAGGCAGACCAAGGACGGGAGGCACCGGGGCCCTACCAGCCTTTCCACATCGGTGCCCCTTTTGTGCCCCAGTGGCCTCAAAGCCACCATGGCCTACTTGGAAAACAAACCTCCCCCCAAAAGTTGCACTAAAGCAAAACATCTCTAGAAAGCGGTTTTCCCAGTGGTGGGCAATGCAGTCCTGAAAGAGCCCTCCAGGAAGCGACCCAACGGCAGCATCCTTGACCACCCAGGAGCCTGCCCAGGGGTGGCCCTGGCAGAGGCACAGCGCCCAGGCCTGGGTCGGGGCTGTTTCCCTGGCGAGCAGCCCTCTCTGCCCTGCCTCCCCGGGCTGGAGAGGATGCCCAGGGTGACCTGGACCACCTCACGCCCACTTCCTGCCTGCAGCAACCAGCCAGCCAGAGCGGAGTGGCCCCACATTCCTGAGCAGGTTACTCACCTGACCCCCAGAGGCATTTCAGTGTGCCACCTGGTTCTAGCACATTCCATGTCAAGTCAAGGAAACCGAGGACCCCAGGGGAACACTCAGACTGCAGAGGATCTGGGAGAATCGAACAGACGAACATGTCGGCCAAAGGGATGCCTGAAATGGCCTCACCCCCACCGGCACAGCCAGTGACCTTCTCACCAGAGGGGGAGTCTCTGAGGCTCAAATTTGACCTTAGGGTGTCCCCACATCCACTGTGGACTTGGGGAGGGCGCCCAAGGGAGTCCGTGGTTTCTGTGCAGGGCGGAAAAGGGACTGGGGAGGAAGGCAGAGAGCCGTGCTGAGCAACCAGCCGAAGCAGCCCCCAACCAGCCCCCTCTAAAAGTGGCACCCCCTCGCTTTAGCCCAGGCACCCCCACCACCACCCAGCACCAACCCAAGCCCGTGACTTGATTAGTCTCTTGAACGAGGTGTCAGCTTCTTTCTACACCACCATGTGGTCCAACATGCCCTGCAGCCCGTTCCTCAGACCCGACCAGAGGTCAGAGGGGGCAGAGGGCAGCACGCACGTGACCGGAGCCCCGCCAAGGTTGTCCAGGCTTTCCCAGGGGCTGCTACCTCTCAGTCCCAGGAGCCAGAGCAGCATGGACAGGCAGGTGGTGAGCCTCCCACCTGCCTCCAGGCTGTGTGCTCAGCCTGGCCCCACCCCTGCAATCTCCTCCCTCTAGTTAAAGTTGGGGGGCCAAGGGCTGTTAAGAGAACCCAAGAGACAACCACCATGGAAAGTCTAACAGGAGGGGCAGCAGCTCCGGGATTCGTCCTCGCATGTGTCCCCTCGCAGGGAACAGCAGGAGGCCGCCTGGTCTCCTGACTCCCCTGACCTGCCCTTCCTGCCGCGAGCAGAGGACGCCCACCCCCCCCCCCAGGCCTGTGATAAGCCGAGTGCAGGGCAGCTAGGGAGGGGCAGGCTGGGCAAAGGCAGGAGCCGGCTAGTTGAGGGGCTTGACGGCCGCCGCCCCTTAGCAGAGGCGGGACGCGAAGCCTGGCGAGCTGCCGGTCCTGGCTAGCCCAGCGGGGGGCAGGAACGTGGCAGGCTGAGCTGGATTGGGGCCGACCGCCCCCTCGTGGGCCCCTGAGGCATGGCGGGGCCCCAGCTCACTGCCAGGCCCAGCCCGAGTGAGGCTCCAGCAAGCAAACAGCTAAGGGGGAAACCCCGAGGAGAGGGAAGGGAATACGGACAGAGCCAGGCCTGGGGCACAGGCCAGCGGGGCACCCTGCGCGGGAGTGACGCCTGGATGAGGGGGCTTCGTGGACGGGACTCAGCGGGGCCTCTCAGCAGAACGTGACCCCAAGGACGGGGAAATCCATGTCCCGCCAAGCTGCCACACCTTCACCTCCCAACCCCAGAAGGCCGGCACTGCTGGACTCATCCACGTTTATTATGGCAATTGATTACACAGACACACGGGCGATCGCTCATGTGGTTCCGAAGCGCTCGAACCGGTGGAGTCCATGAGTGACGTCTCTTCATAAATACCAGGAGACGCGAGCACAGTGGGAAGGAGCCGCCGGTGCCGGCCGAGCACCATGCTGCGCGCACACCACGCGCGCGGGCCCGGAGCCGGCAGGCACCAGAAGGTCAAGTTTCCTTGTGGGCCCCAGCTCCTCGGCCGCCAGATGCTAAGCCCTCGAGGAGCGGACATTGCAAGGCACATGTGACATCCTCACCCCCAGCAGCTCGAGTCCGCCCTGGAGACCCGGCTCTTGCCGGAGCCGCCAAGTTAATGCTTCATTCTTTACCCCCCTTGGGCCTGTGAGGCCACTGCTTATTGCTGAGCACGCTCTAAATCCCCGGCGTGCTGGAGGCCACAGTGACACGGAGTCACAGTCCCTGCCCTTGACATGCTGAAGACAAGAGAAGCAAAGACACGGAGCCCGACACAGCGGTGGTGTTCTAGAAAGCACCACTGGGGAAGCGACTGTTAGGGCTTCTGCTGACATCATCTTAGCTGGGGAGCGGGTGGGGAGTTATATCCGGGGGCTCAGAGGAAGGGGATGAGGGCAGGGCTGCTGCCAATGAGATTCAAGGCACTAGAGGAGTGACTCAGAGGAGTCAGCCAGAAGTGGAGCACCCCGAGGAGGGGGGGAGGCTGTGGGAGGGCAGCCGGCCCTCCACTCCTAAATGAGCTCCCAGGTGGCCAGTTTCCTGGGCCACAGCTACTCGCTCCCAGCCACAGGGCACAAGGGGGTCCCCAAATTCTCCACCAGTGCAAGTCAGGTTGGGGCCCACCCTCACAACCCCGACTTCTCGATGCACAGCACCCGGCCCCCGCGCATCTGACATCAGCCTGTCAGATCAGGTATGGCTTTAAGTCACGTGACAGTGCTTGAGCGTCCTGCTGAGCTGCTCTCTCTCCCCGCACCCGGCCCTGGGCGTGGGTGGTGCGGGCATCCTCAGGGGCCCCACACACACACACAGAGCAGCAGCCCTCGGCATGGGCACCACGTCGAGAGGCCAACACCAGGGAAAGGCGGGGGGAGCCAAGGCCAGATGTAGGGAGCCTCATCACCGAGGTGACCCGCATTGGGTTCGGTGCCGCGAGTGTGGGGCACAAGTAGATGATCACAAACACACGCCCGCTCACACACACTCACGGAGAGGTGTGAACTCCCAGTCGGGCTCACGGCGCAGAAGTTAGAGCCAGTCACTGCAAGGAGGCGCCCCCTTCCCCGGGAAGGTCGATGAGTTGTGCCCACTGTCCCCACGGCCCGCAGGGCCCCAGCCAGGTGCCCCAGGTCCCTGCGTGCCCCCACAAGTCCATGAGGAGTGCCAGCTCCACTCCCAGTTTCACCTGGAATCTCAGGAGGGTGGGCCCAAGGCTGAGGGACAGGGGAGGTAGGGAAGGGCCAGGCCAGCCTCTAATACCCAGGCCAGGCAGGCCCCTGAGGCTGGGGGAACCCGTAGGGAGGGGTGGGGCCGGTGGGATAGGGCGGCCGAGGCAGGCCTGAGGGCTGGGGCGGGCCTGGGAACTGGGGCTGAGTGGGGTACGGTGGCTTGCCTCCCGTCGAGGGGTAGGACGGCTGCTGAGGATAGCCAGCACTGGGGGCGCGGCCCCCCGCCAACGGGTACCCTGGGCCAGAAGCACCAGCGGGGGCCATGGGATAGCTGGGCAGGGGCGGCGTGCTCCTCTGCGGGGACCAGGAGTAGCCCCCAGCAGCCCTGGGTGCTGGCTGGGCTGACGGGTAAGCAGGGCCCATGGGCCCGCTGTAGGCGGGGTAGGGCTGGGACAGCGCGGGGAAGGGGGCCGGCGGGAGGGCGCCATGCGCCGTGGGGCCTGCGGGCATGCCGGGAGATGGGCTGTAGGGCAGCGGGTAGGGCAGGCCTGCCGAGGGCGGGGGCGGCAGTGGCTGTTCGCCAGCCACAGGGGGCGTCGCCTGGGGGGCCGGGCGAGGCGGGGGAGGTGGGCGAGGAGGAAGAGCATCCCCCGCCAGCTCCGGAGATACTCTGGGCCTCCTCATCACCTCCTGGAGCTTCTCCACACGGACCCGGCGCAGGTGGGACAGCATCCTCATGGAGGAAAAGGTCTCCAGGAACGTTTCCAAGGGCACCTCACCCTCCAGGAACTTCTCAGCCATGGCCTGGAAGACATGAAGGCCCGTGACAACAGGGCCAGGGGCTCGGCTGCTCCCGACCTGCTCTGATCCCCACCGGCGAATGGCTCCCCGAGGCCCTTCTCCCTGCAGACAGACTGGAATGCACTCCTGGGTTCACCCCGATCTGCCTCACCCAGAGTCAGCTCCCGGAGGGCAGGGACTGTCTTGTCTAGTCACCGCTGTCCCCACCCTGACCTGGTGCCAGGCCCACAGTGGGCACTGCACACGTGTGTTGAGTGACAGGACAAACACCGGCCACTCGGTCACTCGAGCAGGCTGGCCTGGAGCTGGGAAGACAAGGCAGCCCGGGAGAGGACAGTGGCTGGGGGCCAGGCTCCAGTCCTGGGTCTACAGCCACAGCGCCCCCTTCTGGGTCTGCCAGCTGCCGGGGTCTTGTGATCCATGGCCCAATTCAGCGGCAGCTCCTGAGATCCGACTGGGCTCACTCATCCAAAAGGGCTCACTCCTCTCTGCGTCTACTGCAGACACCCGGCGCCCCTCCACGGGCTCCTGCTCAGGAAGAGGGGGTGTCCGCGGCTCTCTCACCTCTGACTCTTCTTCGATCTTCATGCCTTCGATTTGCAGAAGGTCTAGCAAAGTACTTGGCCGCAGTGTTGAAGAAAATTTCTCTGGAAGGGAAGGCAGAAAGGTCGACATCTCAAAAGAGGCTCTGGACTCAGGCCTGGCGGCTGAGGTTTCAGCAAAGTCTGTGGCCTGTGTGCACTGAGGCCCTGTCACCGCCCCGGGGTCTGCTGGGCCCCTCCTTTCAGTCCAGTCCCCTTGGGTCTCCTTTCTGAGCAAAGGGCAGCTCAGCGCGGCCCAGCCACTGACTAACCAGCTGCCCAGCAGCAGCCTGGGAAGCAAAAGGACCCGGACTTTGAAATCCACCCCCCACCCCAATCCTGCTCTTCTTCCTGGGGGAGGGTGACCAGGCCAGCCCCCACCCCTACCTTCAGCTGCGCCGAGACTGAGCTGGCGAGCTCAGCACAGGACGCAGGCTCGCTGACTCAGAGCCCCACAGCAGCCTTCCCACTGCCTCACGAGCCCCGTGCTTCCCACCCGAGGCGAAGATGACAACCTACCCTTCCTCGGCTGCTGAAAAGCGTATGTAAAGCACTTAGGGGCGGGGACGACCATCAGGGAGCTGGCCCATGGGGAAGGGAGAAGGCACCTACTCTTCCACGCTACTCCACCACTCTCCCGTCCAACCTTGACAGAGACCCTGAATTATTAACAGAGGCGCCCCCCGAGTGCACACGCCGGGGATCTGGCCCACCTACCCAGCTTGGCCTTCTGCTCCTGGCACCGCTCCACGAGCTTCCGGAGCTCCTGGTATTTGTCCGAGAGATTCGAGCGGCTGATCTCCAGGGGACCCTGGAACTCCAGGTTCTGCTCAGCCAGGCTGCGGTTGGTGGCCAGTGCCATCTCGCGTTCCAGCTGCAGGTCCTGGACCTAGAAGAACAAGCCACTGGACCGTAACAAACACCACTGCTACCACTCACCTCCAGCCGCTGGGTCAGGGTTCCTGGGATCCTGGCACACAGTGGGGTCCCCTGAGCTTGGTCTAGTTCTAGCCCTGGGCAGGGCACGCAGACACAGGCACCTTCCCGAATCCTCCACCCAATGGTGGCGGTGGTGGGCACAGGTGGGAAGCGGGCGCCTGGGGGCCAGGCCCACCATGGGGTGTGCAGACTCCAGGGAGGTGGGGACCCATTTATATCAGAAAGTCAGCGGCTTTCAGGCAGAAGCAACCAAAAGTCCTGACCACTTATCCCCAAGATTCAGGGTCAAGGGGCCTACTCTGAGGTGGACTAAGGGCCCAGCCAGACCACAAGATGGACAGATGTGGTCCCAAAACAGTGAGTGAGAAAGCCAGGTGACAGCAATTCAGGGAGACGTGTCCCTTCCTCCTCGGCCACGTGTGAGCACTGCAGAGAAGCTGTGCCAATGAGGCGGCAGAGGGGCCACCAGGGGCTGGCGGGGTGCCCCCATCAGCACAGCACAGGCGCCACCCAAGGCCCTAAGGCCAACCTCCATGGCTGGACAGCCCCCTGACAGCACGTCCCCAACATGAGCAGCAGCCTGCCCTCAGCTGGGTCCTAGGTTGCCACTGGCCGGTGAGGTGGCAGCCACAGGACCGCGCCCACATCCAAAGCCCCTGCCATGACCCAAAGCCCCATCTACTCTCCAGGGAAGCCCCTCTACCGGGGGCGGAGAGCATCAGCCCACCACCCCTGAAACAGTGAGGACAACACACCGACAGCACACGGGCCCCAGAAGAGACTCGGGCCTGCTGGGGGCTCAGGCCAAGCTCAGCAACACCAGCTTGCCTAGGGGAGCCACTGTTGGCATCGCCGCCATGACAGCACCTGATGGACAGGCCGGCTTGGCTTGTCCACCCCCTGACATGGGGGGTTCAGAATAGGGGGCTATGGGAAGGCTGAGCTGCTGACCCCTACATAGGGGCTCGAGCCCTGTGCTAGGGCAGGCCTGGGCCTGCTCCTCCTGCGCCATCCAAGTTCCAGGCTCCCTCCGCCCCGCAGACATGGTTGCTGGGGCACAGGAGTCACGGGGCTGGATTCCTGGGCCTCCCAGGCCAGAGCTGTGCTGCCACAGACAGCAAGCTGCCCCCCAGAGCCGCCTGGTTGGCTGCCACAAGCACCCACAAACACATGGACTCGGACGTCGATGCTGGGGAGTCTGCCTCGCGTTTTCATTAGCGAGGAAAGCTTTTCTCCCCATATGTGCTGCCAGAGTGGAAGGCCTGAAGCCCTCTGCTCAGCTGCCCCTTGGGGGCCCCTCGGGGCCTCCATGGATATGCCTCTTTACACATCCACTGCCTTTCCCCGAGTCTTAACCAACCTTGTATCACTTCCCCCCAAACCTTGTCTTACCCACTTCTGCCTCCTCTCCCCACAGTATCCCCAAATCTTTCTCCACTAGGGAGCCCCCCACCCGGCAATTATGGGGGTCACTAAGACAGTTCAAGCACTCCACCCAAAGAGCTCAACCTCACCACTCAACCTTCCACATGGCAAGGTAGCCCCCAACCCACTTCTCTAAGCAAGCTGCACACCCCAACTAAAGGCACCCCACCTAGCCTGGCGGCTCACAGCGACACCATCACGCCCTCACAGCCCTGGTGGAAAAGCCCGTCAAAGGGGTCTTGGAAGCCTGAGGGGCTCATTCTCCCGAGTTTTCTCTTCATGCCGGGAGAGTTGTTCCTGCAGATCAGTGAGGCCCAGCCGTGCCCACACAGTCATGCTGCCTTTGCCCAGAGGTGTCCCTGCTTATGCTTCCCACCACCCGCGCGTTCCTCACAGACCCCGTCAGCTGCTCGCGGGGCGGTCGGCTGACTGTGCCTAGTGAGGCCCTGCCGCCACCCACCCTGAGAGTCCGAGTGGGCCGGGAGCCTGACCAGACTCGCCAGCTTCCGTCCTGCTGAGGGAGCTCAGGGCGAGGACAGACCAGCCTTGCGCAGCTCCCACGCCTCTCCCCTCTCCTCACAGTCTGTCCAGGCCGCAGCCCCACGGAGGCTGCTCATTTGGGAAGGGGGGCCTCCCCCCAGAAAGAGCACAGTGAGGTGGGGAGCAAGGCAACCGGCCCACAGCCCGCATCTGCAGGCCGCAGAGAACGGGAAGCGCCCTGGGAGGCGAAAGCGGGAGCGGGCCTTCCCGTTCCTCAGTGTGAACTTACAGACCACACACCTGCTCACCCGTGAAAACGAAAACACATCCGAATGCTAATCAAACGAGCTTGCGTATCTGCGCCTGTGACGCCTCCTAATGCAGGGGCGGGAGGCGGCAGCTTCCAGAGCACGGACGGCCCGGCCGCTCCCAGCATGCCTGTGGGTCCATCCAGCTCTGTGGCCACATCTGGTCACCGGACCTCACAGAGGAGTCGGGTCAAAGAGACAGGAAGGGCTTTCGAAAAGCATAAAGCTCTGAGACAGAAGGGTTATTTTTATCCCCCTGACGGGAGCTGACGAGGTGCGCTTACGACAGGAAACGGGTCAAGCAGGTGAGCCCAAACCCGACATGAGCCCAAACCCCAGGCCGAGAACGGCTCTTCCCAGACGCCTGCCAGCGAGGCCCTTGGGGCGCTTGGGGCAAGACCACGGCACCTGGCTCTAGGAGCTGCCTCAGACTCCAGCTGGGAACAGCAGGTTGGGGACACGCAGGGCAGGGGGATCCCGGGGCCACCAGGGGCCCTGGACTCCCCAGCACTGGCCCCTACAGCTCCCAGAGGAGCAGGCTGGGATCTCAGGGGCTCCCTGGCTGGGTCCAAACCAGAGATCAGGCCATGGAGAGGGGGGAGGAACGTGGCCTGTCCCAGCTGCAGACCTTTACCTCGGGGGCCTCCTGGGCCAGACGGTCAATGGCCTCCGGGTCATTCTGCATCTCCTCCAGCTCCTCCAGGGTCTTGTCTTTCAGGGTCTCCATCTTCCCCTGCGAAGAGAAAAAGACACTGCAGTGGGGGGGGGGGGCAGTGCGGGGTAAAGGGCCCCCTGAGCCCAGAAATACAATCGGTCGAAGACAAACGAGCACTGCAGGGGAGGCTGAGGAGGGGCAAGGCTCCATCCAGCACTGTTCCCGCCACCCGATCCATCCCCACTTGTGGGAGATGCCAGCCGCTCCTTCCCCAGAAAGCGGGGCTGCTGCCCGAGGCCAGACCACAACTCCTGTGGTGCTGAACGAAGCTCTCCAGGGGGCAGCTGGGACAGCAGACAACGGGAAAGAGCCAAAACTCGGCCGGCGGCCACCATGGTGCCAGCATGTGCTCTGCAGGCGTGTAACTCTGTCCGAACCAGAAATCACACTATGCCGCGGACCAGCCCAGCAGCAGTGGGTAAATCGAGGCACTCTCAGGGAATGAGCGAGAACAAGCACGAGGTGGTCGAAGGAATTAGGGCGAGGGACGAAAAGAAAGAAATGACACACAGACACACTCTGAGGGAGTGAAAATCTGAGTGTGATTTGCTGGAATTAACTTTCTCTTTTATACATTATTTTGACCATTACATAAGATTATTTTTTACAGTTTGTGGTTAATTATACATGAGATTATTACATGCAGTGAAACATAACAAAAAACAATATGCACCATTTCTAGATTCCATTCATGTACAATCATCAATAAATCAAGTTCACACCGAGACCACAGCAAGAGAGGTCTCCTTCGTCCTAAACCATTTTTGACCCTCAGGTCTTTCCTATTAACCTTAGTTTAAACATTGACTCAACTATTAATTTTCCATCTACATTGTGTATTATGTATATACTATAATATGGATATTTCTTTACTATTACTTATAACTATTTCTGTTGATTAAATTTACTATTATAAAAATCACAACAGCTATTTCTCACATTTAGATTCTTAGGCATTTTCTGTAAGTAGCCAAACCAGTTTAAGGTAGCAACTGGGCAGTGAAGCACAAAGCTATTGAATTGTAAGCTAAAGATGAGCGGTGTGGTCTCAGCAAGCTGGGCAGTGTCAGCTGGAATACAATGGCATTGCTTTATAGCAGCCATCTTCTTCTAAGGCCAAAGAAGGGGTTTTTATGAATCCCCTCGGGGACTGCGCCTGTCTTAGGTTGTCAGGAGTCGCAGACACTTGTGCAGGCAGTGCCTTCTGTCGTCTGCCCCCGATCTTACCCGTCATTGGCTGTCCAGTCCAGCGCCCAGGGGAAGGGGGTCTTATGTACTCTGACTTTCTGGGTCTGAGTAACTGCCACCCTTTGTTCAGCATGCTCACTGACGTTCAGCAGCAGAGGCTGCCGCAGGGGCAGAAGCTGCCACAGTTCCTTCGACCACCCCGTGCTTGTTCTCGCTCATTCCCTGAGAGTGCTTCGATTTACCCGCCGCTGCTGGGCTGGTCCGCGGCAACAGTACTCTGCAAGCACCGGGCCTTCGAGGACGCCAACGTCACAGGCCCCGGCACATCGCTGCTCACTGAAGTGCGTGCACCAGCCACCTGGGGTTCCCCCCAGCAGCCTCAGCAACTGCTGCCCTCTTCACATGCCACAGAAACAGATTGTCACGTGTGTCCTCGCTGGAGTGGAACAGAACCCCCAAACACCCCCCCCACACCCCCAAGCAGTCAGGAGGAAGAGTAACTCACCCACCCAGACAGAACATCTGCTGACATGGAGCTGCCTCGCAGTCCTCAACCTGTCACTGCCTGGGGGGCACCGGTCGGCAGGGGCAGAGGGGTCACCCCAAGAAGAGGAAGCACAAACCCACCCGGTGCTCACTTCCTTTCTGCGGACAGGATCTTCTGCTTTTCTATTTTCTGGACGTGCGTGTCAGGGCCTGAATGCATGCGGCTTTTTCTCATGACAAAGTTATATTCATTTTCAAGAGACTCCAGCACTACAGCAATCTGGAGGCCCCACAGCGCTGGGTCACGGGGAGCCGGCACCCACCATCCAGACAGGGAGGCATTTGGGAATTAAAGACAGTTGTGTGGCCCCGAATAACCTTCTCTGGGTCTCAGTTCCCCCACCCCCAACCCGGGGCGAGTGCACTGAAAACACACGTGCCAGACAGGGCTCAGGAAGTCAGTCTCTCGCTGGAGATGCTGAACCGGGGCCAGATTCTGAGAAAGGAAACAGCTCCTTGCTAGTCGTGTGGCAGCAGAGGCCTCGGTGACTGCGCTGTCTCCCCTCAGCCTGTGAGGTGGGGAGCAATCAAGCCACCCAGCAGCCAAAGCACAGTCCACACCTCACCCTGCTGCTCTGAGACCCTCGGAGCAAATGCTGGGGCAGGGGACCTGCGGACGGTGACACTGCCAGGTGCCCAGTGAGTGGCCGAGAGCAGGACAGGCAAAGTGACATTGTGAAGACGCAAAGCCACGTCAGCAGACTGGGCTGGGTCACCAGACCTAGCCTGAGTCCAGGGCCTGCCTCCTGCCAGCCATGGTAACATCCCTGAGCTCAAGGGCAGCCCCTTGAGCCAGCGTCTGTGAACCGGGCTGGCCCTGGCCGGTGCAGGATGAACCAGATAAGGCAGGCGCGCAGGTGGAGCTGGCCTAGATCAAACCATCTCCACACTACAGGGATTGCCGAGCGATGACTAAGGCCTCCAGCACCCAAAGCTGTGACCCAACCCTATCCCGCCCAGGGAGGGACCTGCCCCAGGAGAGGGCAGGGCGGAGCAGAGACAGCCCTGGGGGTCAGCAGCTGGCCAACCACAAGCCATCTGCACAAAGAAGCCAGCGGTGTGGAGGGCTCCCGGGCAAGGGGAGGCTGCCAGGCACCTGCTGGGAGGCCCTGAGCAGGCTACCTGGGTGGCCCCACTCTCCCCCAGCACTCACCCTGGGGCGTTAGGCTCCACGCTGCCAGGGAGGGAAGGTGCAGCCCTGAGCCACCAGTCACAGATTTTCTGGTTTCAGGACCCCCCTTGGCTCCAGACCCCCGAGTTTTTATTGATGGGGATTTTTTATTTTTTAAATAAATGTCTGTTGTTTTTTTCCAGTCTATGGTATTTTTTTTTTTTAAGATTTATTTATTTATACATGCACTGGGTACAGTCAGAAGCGCGGGAGGGTGAGAGAATCCACCAGAGCCAGAGCGGGGAGCAGAGCAGGCAGAAGGACCCGAAGTACACTGCTGAGGGGAGCAGCGGGCGGCAGGAGAGGTCTGCGCGCCATGTGGGACCCTCCGGTGGCTGGGGAGCAGCTCAACCGCTGCGCCACCGGGGAGGCCCCCTGATGTGGATTTTAGTGATCAATATTTATCGCATTAATTAGAAAATTAAGTCAGGAAATGTTCGAACAATATGCAAGCACCCACATTCCACTGGCCACAGAACAATGACGTCATCACGTGCATGTATTCGCCAAAAATTCCACTGTCCATTCACTGGAGAAAGACAGCAAGAAAGGAAACTCTTAATTATGAAAGTCGTTCTGGACTCATAGATGGCTTGAGAGGGTCTCAGAGCTGCCCCCCAGGGGCCCCACACATACTTAGAGAACCACTGGCCTGGAGGTTAGAATGGAACTCTAGGGCCTGACTGCCTGGGTTCAGATCCTGGCTCTGCCTCTTACGAGCTATTTTAACCTCTTGCTGTCTCGGTTTCTCCATCTGCAAGACAGCAGTGCCTGGGACAGTCAGCATGGGGGGCGCTCACCTTCACACCACCTTCCAGGTGTGCACCCAGAGTATCACCCTTGCCCAATCTCGCAGAGGAGGCTTGGAGGAGCCCCAGGGACATGCCCCACCAGCCCAGATTGGGGGGAGGGGTCTCAGAATCACCTGAAGTCCTCATGTAAAGCCTGAATCCCGAGTCCTAACTCCAGGGTTCTTAATGGAATTTTCACGTTTCATTCTAAGTGGCCCAGGTCAAACTCGTCTGGCATCTACTGCCTTGTTCTCCCGAAGGAACTCAGAGTGCACAGCCCCATCTGACAGAGGAAGAGACTTGAGGGTAGTTCCTGCAGAGGCCAATGCAGATGTGGGCTTCATCCTCTGAGCAGTTCCTGCTGCCTCTGCCAGGCCACCCAGGCACTTCCCCTCAGTGCCCAGGGCTGGCTCGGAGTGGGACCGTGACAGGCACACCGGGGTGCATGAGATGGGTCCCTCACTCCAGGATTCCAGCACTGGAGTTGCAGCCCAGTGACAAGGGCATCACCAAGGGAGGCAGCACTGGAGGCCCCGGCGGGCCCAGCACCACGACCACATTACTCGACAACCCAGTGAGGCCCACGCTGTGGCAGAGTCACGTGGCGACCACAGCTGCAAGGCCAGGCCAGGGAGCCCCCACAGGGCAGCCAAGGCGGAGTAAGGCCAAGGGGTCCGAGGACCCAGCCAGAGTTTATCTCAGCAGGACACAGGCAGCCGGGAGCATTTATGGGGGTTTCCTCCAAGAAGATTTGTTTTGATTATGGGAAAATCAACAAAACAAAACCTTTTTAAAACAGTCCAGTATTTTACAACGTTCTGATGTTTCCTCACTGGGGCTGATAGGAGGGTGTCCCTGAGCCTCTGTGGAGCTAGTCGGGGCCTGTCCTTCTTGGCCTTGTAGGGAACCCGCAGGGAATGCGGCGCTTGACAGAAGAGTCTGTGAAAGCAAAGCTGTCAAGCCCCCACCCACAGGCTTAAAAGTCCCAGTTCACACAAAGCAGGGCCTGATGTTGCTAAAACCTGCATGAGGCCGCCGCCCGCTTTCACAAGGGACAGGGGTTGGGGACCGCTATGGTGGCGGCTGCAATGACGTGACTTGTCATCCAATAATTGGCCAAGCAATAAACAGATGAGCGAGCGAGCCTCCTAAGGCACTGCTGGCCCGGGGAAGAGCCACGTGACCCCACTTCTTCCAAAATGAGGCGTATTCAAGACCCCACTCAATTGTGCCAAACATGCTTTTCCTGGGGACTCACTTGGCCAGCTGTCAAAGGGGTGAACCACCTCTGAGGGTCCCGTGGCGCCTTTCTTTGCAATCAAAGCCTTGCAAACGTGCCCATTAGTTTATACAGTGAGTGAAGCACACACGGGCTGCCTGACTACACCCATCGCAGAGCTGAAGTGAAGCCCAGAAAGAAACGGAGGACGGGCCGGGCTCCTGGGAGCGGGGACCCAGCAGGCAGCTCTCATTCCGTAACCAAGCGCCTGGCTTGAGCTTCGAGGCCCGGGTATCCACGTCCCAGAGGGCCAGCCGAGTAAACACCGAGCCGACCTCACTCCGGTAAGAGCCAGGCTGCCACCCCCGGCCCCTCCAGGTGCCTTGTTCTCAAATCCTGGTCATCTGGAGGCCACGTGTGGCTTCCTTTTCTGTCTCTTTCTTCCTGTG